TTTTTTGGTGACTGATTTAATGTCTGTAAAAAAAAAAACATGCTAGCTGCATTGCATCTTTTTTTCTCATATATAAAGTTCAAAGTTTCCATTGTTTGTCTAGATATCACCTCTGCAAATTTTGAACATTTTCACAAACAACTGGCATCCTCATTAACCCATACATCTACAGTACATCATTCCAATGAATAAAAAACAGCATTCATATAAAAAGCACACAGGTTTTTATTGCATATCAATTTCATGTATAAATTCTTCATAGCATTGGAAAGATTACATTTGGTATACATATCTATTCTACAGAATTAACATCAGAATCATGTCTTTTCCATGAAATTGCTCTAAAGTACATCTTCAGTAATCACAAGCATCAAAAAGAACTTCAGAATTTTCAGTATTATTCTACAATCCTTAAATGTTGTCATTATTTCTCTCCCACAAGCATATTGTTCAGTTCAATAACCATCTGCCCATAGTATTTAAGGCAGTAACAGGACTTAAAGTCAAACCTACTAACCTAACCACATGTACAATAAGTGCATCTACAAGTTCTTTTTTTTTCTTTTTAATTTAAGATACACATTTCACAAATGGACACCATTATGACCTCTAAAACACAAGTCATGCACAATATTTTTAATAAACAAAACAGAAGCAATATACAACTCATATCCAAATGAAACAAGCACCATCTATTTTCAAACCCATGTCTTTTTTTCTTTTTTTGAAATACTGTACACTTTTTTTTTAGAGAAACCACATTATCTATGGTTTTCGAAATGGTACGTTTGTTTGCAATGTAACAGTGGGCCAAGGACATCTGCATTGTTAATTTTTTGACCATTTTCCATGATGATTTAATCAGTGTGGGTCAATTTATTCACCTACAGCGCTTGCTAAGTACAGTAGTATGTGACATGACTTCTCCATACTCATAATCCCATTACATCCCCAGCAATCCAATATGCATCAAACAGGCTTTTTACTCAAGGGTTTGAGTAAATGATATAGTGAGGAGATAGGTAAGATTACACAGTGCGCCACCTGGTAGTATATTGAAATACGACACTGCTGCAAGTTTTTACACAGTGTTATCAAGCAGATTGATTTCATGTGAAAGGCCAGTCAAGTCCATCTTGCCTGGTTTGTGTTCGCAGTGAAAACACAATATTTCTAATGTTCAAAACCAACAAGTTCTTCTAACAACGCTTGAATGTACTTTGCCGTTTTATTTGAAAGCATCTGATAAAAATGCCTGTTTGACCCAAGAGTTAAAGTGCTTGTTAAAACCAGCCTTGCTTAGAAAATTTCATTAAAATCAGTACTAAGGTGTAAAGGAAAGCATGAAGTAGGCAGACAGGGGTATGTGTTCGATTTAAGTGCTGATTCCAGAGAGTCTTTAAACGTCCAAATAGAAGTGAGGAGAGTATGAGTTCCTGACCAAAAAGACATTCAATCGAGAGAAGGTAAGTTTGACTCCTAACCTACGTATTACATCTACTCTACACATTCATGATATGCATCCAGCTGTTTACGATTTATTCGCTGGCTTCACAGTTCAGGAGTTGGATGAGGACTCATGGATTTGGGCATCTCTCTATGCTCTTGTGGACGTTAAATGTAGCTGCTCACCATTTGATCATGATCCATCTTGAGCTCTCTCGCTTCTGGTGTCTCTTCTGGGATGCATAATATTAAGTATTTGAGTTATGTAGAATTTGATATGATGTGTAGGACTGGCTGATGTACAGTATATGGCTCTTCCCAAACAAATTGAACATTGAAAACATGCGATTTGAACCCAGAGATACACCGTCGACCCATTTCCTTTAATGAAGATGCTTAAAATGTGTAAAAGTGTCAACATATAATGCCCCTCTATTGAGTTACCTGATATTTTTTTTTCTTAAATCACGCAGTGCCTACTTTTCTAGATGGTTGAACAGATGCATCATAAACCAGACTTCATGATTATGTGCTCATAATATAAACGCATTCTTTTGTATTTTGGCAACTTGCTTCTTTACGAAGAGCTCGAACAATTCTGAATTTCCGTGATATTTCAGTAATTTCATTCCTTCAAACGAGTGGGCAAGTCATTTTTTTCTTCATTTTTCATTAATCATAAAAAAAATAAATACAAGACAAACGCTCATCAATGTAAGTAGCAACAACAGGAGAAAAAAAAAAACCTACCAACAGTGGAGGCGACCACTCGGGAAAATGATTGTCAAAGAAAAAAGGGGATTATTTGGCACACAACACTCTCTGCTACCAATGGTTAACTTAGTTTGTACATCATACAACAATATTGTACAAATTTGGTCCTTCACTAAGAATTATATTAACATTTAAGCACAGATGTGCTCAAAAAGAAACAATACTGTTTACCGAAGAACAATTCACATAGAAAAAAAAAAATCATATTACTGAACGCAAGAAAAAGAGAAAAGTTTTCCAATTGCCCCACTGGAGAATAATTTAACTCTTAAAAACAAACTTTCAGCTGGGACTAAACGGCTAAGATACTTACCATAACAGCAATAATTACAATGACCTTGATGCTATACACATGAACAACCGTGCTGCGTGATTTATCGTATGAAGGTCCGGCTGGCGACGAGACAAGATCGCACAGCCCAACACAAATCTCAAAGGTGACTTCCAGCATTTACTTTTTGAGACATTGGCTTACAAACGGCATTGAGCCTTCGGGGGAAAGTTAGCATGCTAGTTATGGGCTAGACTTAAGTGCTTCTATTGCCATTGGAAATCAACGTTGATGTCTACAGTAATGGTCTACCGTAAGACTTCGGCTGTGAGTTAATAGAAAGGAAACCTTGGTACAGTGCTGTAGAAGATCAGCGTGCGAATGGAATGCTGAGTAGAAACGGTTCAAATCTCCAATGGACACCATTATGACCTCTAAAACACAAGTCATGCACAATATTTTTAATAAACAAAACAGAAGCAATATACAACTCATATCCAAATGAAACAAGCACCATCTATTTTCAAACCCATGTCTTTTTTTCTTTTTTTGAAATACTGTACACTTTTTTTTTAGAGAAACCACATTATCTATGGTTTTCGAAATGGTACGTTTGTTTGCAATGTAACAGTGGGCCAAGGACATCTGCATTGTTAATTTTTTGACCATTTTCCATGATGATTTAATCAGTGTGGGTCAATTTATTCACCTACAGCGCTTGCTAAGTACAGTAGTATGTGACATGACTTCTCCATACTCATAATCCCATTACATCCCCAGCAATCCAATATGCATCAAACAGGCTTTTTACTCAAGGGTTTGAGTAAATGATATAGTGAGGAGATAGGTAAGATTACACAGTGCGCCACCTGGTAGTATATTGAAATACGACACTGCTGCAAGTTTTTACACAGTGTTATCAAGCAGATTGATTTCATGTGAAAGGCCAGTCAAGTCCATCTTGCCTGGTTTGTGTTCGCAGTGAAAACACAATATTTCTAATGTTCAAAACCAACAAGTTCTTCTAACAACGCTTGAATGTACTTTGCCGTTTTATTTGAAAGCATCTGATAAAAATGCCTGTTTGACCCAAGAGTTAAAGTGCTTGTTAAAACCAGCCTTGCTTAGAAAATTTCATTAAAATCAGTACTAAGGTGTAAAGGAAAGCATGAAGTAGGCAGACAGGGGTATGTGTTCGATTTAAGTGCTGATTCCAGAGAGTCTTTAAACGTCCAAATAGAAGTGAGGAGAGTATGAGTTCCTGACCAAAAAGACATTCAATCGAGAGAAGGTAAGTTTGACTCCTAACCTACGTATTACATCTACTCTACACATTCATGATATGCATCCAGCTGTTTACGATTTATTCGCTGGCTTCACAGTTCAGGAGTTGGATGAGGACTCATGGATTTGGGCATCTCTCTATGCTCTTGTGGACGTTAAATGTAGCTGCTCACCATTTGATCATGATCCATCTTGAGCTCTCTCGCTTCTGGTGTCTCTTCTGGGATGCATAATATTAAGTATTTGAGTTATGTAGAATTTGATATGATGTGTAGGACTGGCTGATGTACAGTATATGGCTCTTCCCAAACAAATTGAACATTGAAAACATGCGATTTGAACCCAGAGATACACCGTCGACCCATTTCCTTTAATGAAGATGCTTAAAATGTGTAAAAGTGTCAACATATAATGCCCCTCTATTGAGTTACCTGATATTTTTTTTTCTTAAATCACGCAGTGCCTACTTTTCTAGATGGTTGAACAGATGCATCATAAACCAGACTTCATGATTATGTGCTCATAATATAAACGCATTCTTTTGTATTTTGGCAACTTGCTTCTTTACGAAGAGCTCGAACAATTCTGAATTTCCGTGATATTTCAGTAATTTCATTCCTTCAAACGAGTGGGCAAGTCATTTTTTTCTTCATTTTTCATTAATCATAAAAAAAATAAATACAAGACAAACGCTCATCAATGTAAGTAGCAACAACAGGAGAAAAAAAAAAACCTACCAACAGTGGAGGCGACCACTCGGGAAAATGATTGTCAAAGAAAAAAGGGGATTATTTGGCACACAACACTCTCTGCTACCAATGGTTAACTTAGTTTGTACATCATACAACAATATTGTACAAATTTGGTCCTTCACTAAGAATTATATTAACATTTAAGCACAGATGTGCTCAAAAAGAAACAATACTGTTTACCGAAGAACAATTCACATAGAAAAAAAAAAATCATATTACTGAACGCAAGAAAAAGAGAAAAGTTTTCCAATTGCCCCACTGGAGAATAATTTAACTCTTAAAAACAAACTTTCAGCTGGGACTAAACGGCTAAGATACTTACCATAACAGCAATAATTACAATGACCTTGATGCTATACACATGAACAACCGTGCTGCGTGATTTATCGTATGAAGGTCCGGCTGAAGATCGCACAGCCCAACACAAATCTCAAAGGTGACTTCCAGCATTTACTTTTTGAGACATTGGCTTACAAACGGCATTGAGCCTTCAGGGGAAAGTTAGCATGCTAGTTATGGGCTAGACTTAAGTGCTTCTATTGCCATTGGAAATCAACGTTGATGTCTACAGTAATGGTCTACCGTAAGACTTCGGCTGTGAGTTAATAGAAAGGAAACCTTGGTACAGTGCTGTAGAAGATCAGCGTGCGAATGGAATGCTGAGTAGAAACGGTTCAAATCTCCAGTTGAAGAAACACTCAACTACCCTGTCCACTCAAGCCTTCCAGGGCTTCTCCGAGAACATGTTAAAACCCCTTGAGAGCAGTCTCTATGAAATGCATATCATTGAAAATGAGGTGGAGAGGTGATTTGAGAGTCATTCGAATGCCTCTTGAATCAGCTGATGAGGAGGGAACTTCACTATAGTGGCTAGCTGCAGACAGGAAAGATGCTGTATGGCTGGGATTCGGTGAGTTCATTCGTGTTTTTATACCTCTCCCGTCTGTGATTCACTCAACAGTTCGTTCTCCTCTTTGCGCGCATAGTGGTGGTTCGTCTACTGTTGCATTGCTGGCCTTCAAAAGCTCGTTTTGACGCATCTTCATGTTGGTCTCTTGCCCTCTCCTCCTTTCTCCCTCCATCTCTCCTTTATCTTGTTGGTGTTCTCAGATGTTGTTGAGGGGGTGAAAGGAGCTCGTCTCCGATGGCCCTCCTCCTATGTTGAGCCAGGCATCCAAGGAGTTCTGGGAGGATGAATGCAGATTGGTGTTCTCAGACAGAGAGAGCATCATTGCATAAGCCTGGATGGAGAAAAGGAGGACAGTTCAATCGCAAAGCCAAAACAACCGTCATCTGTTAATTAGGGTCTGTGCATTTCAGAAGCTAGCATGTTCTGTACTCATAAATAGACAATTTATCAGTCATTATTTACTCTTTTCAAATCCGCATGCATGTTATTTTGAGCTGCTTATTGAATGCTCAACAGAAAACAAAATAACAGCATTCGGAAACAATGCTAAATAAACTAGAAATTATTGAAATTATTTCTTATAAATTGGATATGAATTCATTCTTAAAATATAAGGAGGAATTCAAAAGCAGACTTTTTCCTGTCGATGCACAATATTAAAGGACAACCGTTAACTTGTATTTAAGATACACACATATAAGACATGTAACAATTCCACATGAAATGTTGAGACCAGAGGACAGTATAAAGTTATAAATGAAACAGAAAGATAATAGTGTTAGTTATGTTAATGCCATTCACTTAATATTTTTATCAATGTTGAACATTGAAAATATTATTTCTAAAACAAAATAAAAAATGACAATGATTAGGCAGTGCAAAATCTGCATGTAGTTTTATTATATTCTCCCCCCTGCATCGATTATTGCAGGAATTCCCAACCGTTTCAGTCAAAAATTGCACATTTTAAATCTACAATCTCAATTTGAAAGAAACCTTAACCTTTCCGTAAATATACTTAATTTGTGTTTGTGTGTTTATACTAATTATAATATATATAGAGAGAGTTTATACTAAATATTTAGTAGTCAGGTTGAGTATATTATTAGCATGTGTACATACTATAATGAATAACATATTTACTTGAAGTACCCCTCATATTTTAAAATAAATATTTTAATAATTAAGTATCACATTTGCATGTTCGAAGTACTCTGACGTTGGTTAACGGTCATATGACATGCAAGCAAACAAATACATTTAATTGAATTGAATTTTACGATAGCTTATAATTAGATAATTACGATAATTTATAATAAATAGCTTTTCATTAAACTCACAAACCTTGATGTAATGTAAAGTTTAATGCACGTCATGTTGTTAATAACAATGAATGGGATATATTGTCTTTCTCTTTGTATTTTTATATCAATACGGTACAAAATTATCCCATTTAAAGCAATGGGATAAACGAGTAATCTAAAAGAAATTAAAAAGTAGTCTTATTAAGTAGTCTGATAGTCTTATGTTACCTAAAATGTAGTGTAATTATTACGCCACTAACTACAATTTTTGTCATGTAATTTGGAATCAGTAACAGACTACAATTTGTAAGTAATCTACTCAGCTCTGTGTATATATATATAAACAAACAAACAAACAAACCTTAATCTATTATTATTCATTATAGTATAGTGTAATTATTACGCCACTAACTACAATTTTTGTCATGTAATTTGGAATCAGTAACAGACTACAATTTGTAAGTAATCTACTCAGCTCTGTGTATATATATAAACAAACAAACAAACAAACCTTAATCTATTATTATTCATTATAGTATAGTAGTGTTGAAGGCCCATTGTACTTCTGTTGCTTGGTAACGATGTTACATACGATTAATTTTCTACGTTCTCTACAACTTCGTATCTTAAATAAACACTCAACCAAAACGGAATACTTTTCGCTTTATAAAATGTAACTTTACAAGGTTATAAGTAAGCCAAAAGTTTGGAATAATTATTATAATTATAATTCTTTTTTTCATTAGTGCTGTCAAACGATTAATCGCAATTAATCGCATCCAAAATAAACATTTTTGTTTACATAATACATGAGTGTGTACTGTGTATATTTATTATGTATATATAAATACAAACACATGCATGCATATATTTAATAAAAATGTGCTATGTTTATATATTAAATATATTTATATATAATAAATATATACTGTATGTGTATGTATTTATATATACATAATGAATACACACAGCACACATACATATAGTATGTAAACAAAAACTTTTATTTTGGATGCAATTAATTGCGATGAATCGTTTGACAGCACTAATTTTAATATATTTTACAATCACATGATCCTTCAGAAATCATTGCAATATGCTGATTTGCTGCTCGAGAAATATTTATTATTATTATTATTATTATCAATGTTGAAAAAAAGCTGTGCTGCATATTTTTGTGGAAATCATGATACTTCTTGAGTATTCTGATGAACTGAAGTTTCACCGAAATGATTTGAGATAGAAATGGTTTGTATCATTGTAAATGCCTTTACTGTCAATTTTGATCAATTGAATGCACCCTTGTTTATCACAGGAATAAATGATCATTATATATTTAATTTTATATCAATTCTAAATAATATGAATACATTAATTTTAAAATACATGACGGTAGAAAAGTTCATTTAAATGGTAATAATTCATAACTGTTTTACTGTATTTTTGATTAAATAAACACAGCCTTGAGAGCATAAGAGGCTTCTTTCAGCAACATTATTATTTTTTTTATTATTTCACATTATTGACTAGTAGTGTACATACAGTTTATATACATATTATAAAAAAGCCAGATTGCAAATTTAATTAATGATAAATAATATAGCTTACACTACTCATACAACTTTCTTAAAGTCAACATGAGATCAGAATGAATGTGTATTGTTTTATTGCTTGATTTAATTGTTTCTTCTTCATCTTTATTTTATTTTACACGTTGAATTGAAAAACGTGACTTTCACAAATAATAGAAAGGTAGGATTAGAATTGTGTATCTTTTGCAAGTTTGAGTGTTCATTTAGGTGAGCGTTGGCCAGTTTAAGCTCTTCTCCAGTAAACAGACAGATGTGTTTGGCTGACCTGCGCGTGTGTTCGTAAGGCATAGGGAGAGGGGTCGGCTCCTCGTCCTCGTCGTAGGTGCCCTGCACCATAGTGGCGGGAGAGGCCGTCTCGTCCTGTGACTTTTCTGTCAACGAGCCTTCCTCGTCTTCATCATCTCCCTCCATCTCCTCATCTTCCTCCTCCAGTTTTGAGGTGGTGTGAGCGTGACTCTGAGGCTGTTCCTCCTCCGTCAACTCTGACCTGTAATGCAAACAGTCGTCATTTAGTTTTACATATGACCATTTCCATCATCATTTCGATGCTTTGAATTCAACAGGCTGATTTTACTACTGTACTTTTAACATCTCTATATGTAAACAACATCTGTTATTACTGGAGAAGCTCTTTGCAAAGAAAATGAGTAAAAATACCAATTTGAATGCTTGGATTTTGAATACTAAATATTTGCTGATATGTAAACAGGAAAGGTCACAGCAAAAATCGTTTTTCTTAATCAGCATTTTTGTCATGACTAAAACGAAATATGTTTTCAGATAATCCGAAATCTGATTCTCTTTTTGTAAATGTAAATGTATCTCATTTTAATGATCCGTAGAAGTCGCACTGAAAAACAGAACCAACATGCTTTTGAAAATGAATGAATGGAAACATTTTTTTGCAATGTGATTTCTGAATGACCCATTTTGCAGTTTAAATTCCATAAATTGTGCAGGTGGATTGTTCATATGACTACATCATACTGTTTTATATAAAAAGAAAAATACTTTTTTTCCCCCTTTAAAATACTCAGTTCTTATAATGGCCTTTTTTTTTGAGGGAAACAATATCCCTAGCAGAAGGAACACTCTTAAAACTAAAGGTGCTTAAAAGGTTCTTCACAGAGATGCCATAGAAGAACCATTCAGTCAAAGGTTCTTTAAAGAATCATCTCTTTCTTACCTTTTCATAATCTGAAGAACCTTCTGTGAACTTTTTGTGAAACAGAAAGGTTCTTCAGATGTTAAAGGTTCTTTATGGAACCATTTAGACAAAAAGGTTCTTCTATGGCATCACGAAGCACCTTTATTTTCAAGAGTGAAGTCTCCTGTCTTATGTCTTCTTGTCTGCATTTCAGTGATTATTTTTCATGTTCATAGCTATCATCTTGCTTTTTCCCATCTGAGTTTCAACCAACTTAGGAATTAAACTTAAAAAAAAACTTTCATTTGTCATACCCCTTTTTTATGTGGTTGCACATTTTAGAACTTCCTTAACCACATTTCTAATGGCCGCTGGCGATGAGTTTTTATGTTCTTGGGCAATGGAGACAACTATGACATCTAACTACACCTCCCAAAATACCGGATCAAATAATAAGCTATTTTCACCCGTAGAGTCCATTGTGGTAATTCTCTCATCATAATCTGACTGCCAAATATCAGTGCTGTGCTGCTCTCTGGGTTGCCATCCATCATTTCGGACTGGGCAGTAATTCCCCTGCCTGGCCGGAGCTCGAAAACGCCGATCCACGAATGACAAACACACCGATTTTGCAATTAATGACAGACGTTTCTTGCGAGCGTGGCAATGATGAATTGGCTAATTTCAGAGAGGCGAGACAGAGCGAGCTAGACAGGTCACGAGCAATCATCATGGTTTGTCTCATTGCCACCGAGTTCCAGAGAAAACGGATGTTCTGCAAAGCAGCTATCAGCACCACGCCGTTCCACTACCTCTCTTTTTCCAACCCTTTCAGCTTATGATGTCATTGCGCGCACTCCTCCAAAGTCGCTTTTACTGCAGCGCTCTGAAACTGACTTCTATTGAGCCAGACGAATGTCGAGTGGAAGGAGGAGGGGGTCGTAAGGTGGGTGGTTAAGCTATGTGAGGTGTAGACTTACCAAAAACGAAAAAAAAGGGAACAAGATGAACTGCTTGTTTCCCATTTTCCATCATGCTTAAATATCCCATAATCAAATTTGCCCTGGCCTGAGAGAAAGTCCATGCCACGTTGGAGACAGCAGCGGTCCTGCCACAGACCTGCGCTTTGTCTCTCAGTCTAAACATGTCAGAGTGCTGTTTGCGTTAGCTGCGAGGAAGGTGGGCTCCGTCAATGCAGCGCGCAGATAAATGTCTCAGTCTGAGGGTCCCCTGATAGAGCTAAACCTGCAGCCCCCTACTGACTGACAGTCAAACTCAGTCTCAAACACTATTAACCCAGCTGCAGGGAAATCATGCAAGTCCGGGAGAGCAGATCACGTCTTTTCCCACTTTTTCCATTCACGGAGGAAAAGAAAGGAAGAGTACCTGTATTTCTCTTTCATAGCTCTTTAGATTTAATAAAGTGCTTCATTTAAGTATTAACTTTGTCTCGGTTGTTTCTCCTAACATTCCATGGGAGTAAAAAGTGTTGACGTGCAGTGAAAGCATAAGGGGCCATTCTTTAAAAAAAGTGTTTCTAGAACACATTTTCTCATTTTCACATCAACTATGTCTTAAGTGTTTCTCTGAAAATGCCTTGTACAGGAGAAATACAAATAAGGTTAAATGAGACAACTGTTGCCATCAGTAGTGTTGGGGGAGTTACGTAATCAGATTACTTTTCCTGTAAAGTAATACATTACTTTTAAAGTTACTTTTTCGGAAGTATCGCAAGTTACTTGGTTTTCCAATTTATTCACTGACATCTCTCCTGTCAGAAATCTGGAGTGAGGTGCAGAGGTTCTTCCTTCAGCCTGAGGCTTATTCATTTCACTTTTCGTGTGAAAGGGCCTTTAAAGTTGCCAAAAATATAAGTTTTGGATTTTTGTTAAAAATAAATAAGCAAGCCCAGCTCAGGTCACAAAGAGTAATGCAAAAGTACCAATACACTGCTTTCTATAAAATGAAACTATAAGTTACTTTTATGGAGTAACGCAATTAGTTACTTTTTATGAAGTAACACAATATTGTAATGGATTACTTTTAAAAGCAACTTTCCGCCGAGTCCCCGCTTATACGGAGCGATGAAACGAATGTGGATACTAGTATAGCTCAGATAATTGACTTCTCAGTTATGTCTCATTAATGTTTAAGGCATTATTGGGATAGCTTCTAAAAACTCAAGAAGAAGCAAATGCGAGATTTGAATCTTTTTCACAGGAGAAAAACCTAAAAGGGAGGAGACTTTACAAAATTCACAATTTTTAGATTTTTAATCTCATTGCTTTATAGGAGAAACAAATGAGATATGACATGATGTATCATTTCCGACGGAGTAAAAAAGACCGAAGGAGAAATTAGTAGAAAAAACGTTCCACCATGAATGCAGACTGGCTGCACAAGAGTGACAGAAGGCGAGAGAGAAACGGGCAAACGTCATGAAATACGACGCATGAGCGCAGAGGGGAATGTTGCAGCTGCCTGTCCATTCGAAGCGGGTGTTTCTGTGAGGCTGATTTGCAGGGAGACAAAACAGAGCACTTATTTGAATTACAGATATTAAAATGCCAGGCCTGCTTGTACGAGTCAGGACAGGACTATTGATGCCAGATGGCAGTGTGAGGTTTCGGCCCACGCCAGAGCTTCCAAGCGACGAGGCAGAGGCATCGGGTCTCTGCTGGAGTGTGGAGGAACCGAAAAACTGAGGAGGACCAATTACGCATCTAAACAAGAATGCATGTGTTCGGCCATGTATCTGTTCATATGCATTTGTCTGTGTGAACCACCTAAACCAAACTCTGAAGCAACGTGAACCTGGCCACACACCGACAGTCGTGCTGACGGTTCATGACTTTGGCAGTAATGAGCTTTTGTTTGGTGTTTTCATAAGCCGATGGAATGTGCTCCCTGATGTGTATCTGGCTGTGCTTAATGCAGAACAGAACTCAACAAGGTGAAATGACTCATTGAGATGTCCCGACTGAAGGCAAAGCCTGTAATGGGTGCCGCCACACGCACGCGGCTGGCCCAGCGGTACCACAGTCCTCCACTAGATGACAGACTGTAACTTCAGGACTGAGCAGGTTTGTGCGGTTTGTTGCCATAGCTTCAAAATATATTCTGTGCATGTGTGTGTTTATGCGTGTGTGTGTGCGAGCTCGTACCTTTTCTCCGAGGAGCTACAGGCCTGGTTCAGCTCACTTTTGGAGATGAAGTTCCTAATCTCTGAGAAATACGAGTCCTCCTTCTCATCCAAAAGTGCATGATTGTCAGACTCAGAGTTCGGTGAGGAAATATTTGTTCCTAAATTCGAGAGGATCCCAGACTGCTGACTCACTACAACAAATAAGTAGAAAAATATATAGATTAATTTACTAAACTTATTTAAACAAGAAAGACTGAGGGAGATATCTAAACAAATACAACTGTAGTTTATAAGGTTGCATCTTTTGCATTTATTCACATATTTTATGGTCACATTTTATTTTAAAGTCCAATTCTCGCTATTAACGAGGACTTTTGCCTCAATAAAATCCTAATTTGCTGCTTATTAATAGTTAGTAAGGTAGTTGTTAAGTTTAGGAATTGGGTAGGATTAGGGATGTAGAATATAGTCATGCATAATATGTGCTTTATAAGTACTGATAAACAGACAATACAGTATTTTAATAATATGCATGCTAATAAGCAACTAAATAGTGAGAACTGGTCCCTACTAAAGTGTTAACTTTATTATATATTATTACACGGCTCTGTGGAATACTTGATTCTGATTGGTCAATCGCGCCATCCAGTGGTATGTTACTCCCAGATAACAACCGCCAAATGGAATAACACACTGCTCATCCGGGTACTACGAGTTATCTTGACCGGCACTACTTATATGCTTAACGAGTCACTCTGCTACCGTTGACTGTCTGGCGCCATCTTGTGGCTGAAAACACTTAACCACCGCATGTTACAATGGAAGACTTCAGCATTAATTTCAACATATATTGTAAAAACAACTGTTTACTGTAATTAGTGATACGACTGTACATTATGCCTTAAATGTTCGTATTGCTTGACTTCAAAAGGCTCAAAGCAGTTTGTTAGGAACTGTTTTTCTTCGCGGAAGCTTTGCGTAAGAGCTAATAAAATATTTCAACTCAAGTCAATATTTCGTGTCTAATTTACTTGAGACAAGTAGCTGTGTAATAAGCGGGATAACGAGAGCTGTTCGCGCATTAGCTACGCCCACTGCCAAGAAACCGGCATATCTTCTGCTTGTTCTTAAAAGCTGAATAATTCTAAATGAACTCTGTTATTTTGACAGGAAAATACAACAAAGAATATGGTTTACATGTAGTGCGTCGATTCAGCATGGTATGCAAGACTCTCGCTCTCTCTCTTTGCATGTGCGAGAAACACAGCGCTATCAGTAAAGCGACGGCGAGTCGTGCGCCTTCACACAAGTTTACGGTGCGTCAAATACAGGTGCGCTGCGTGCTACATGCTGCGCATCCACTGAGTACATGACATGATCCATTGAGTGCATCCAAATAGTACAGATCGCTTGACGACCCACTCACCCACGCACCCACACACACACACACACACACACACACGCACACACACACACACAAGGCTGGTTGGAGTCCAGCAGTATCACAGTCCTCCACTAGAGAGCAGACTGTAACTTCAAGAGCCAGCTTGTCTGACTGGACAGGTTATGAGTTTGTTGCCATAGCTTCAAAAAATATTCTGTGCATGTGTGTGTTTGTGCGTGTGTGCGAGCTCGTACCTTTTCTCCGAGGAGCTACAGGCCTGGTTCAGCTCACTTTTGGAGATGAAGTTCCTAATCTCTGAGAAATACGAGTCCTCCTTCTCATCCAAAAGTGCATGATTGTCAGACTCAGAGTTCGGTGAGGAAATATTTGTTCCTAAATTCGAGAGGATCCCAGACTGCTGACTCACTACAACAAATAAGTAGAAAAATATATAGATTAATTTACTAAACTTATTTAAACAAGAAAGACTGAGGGAGATATCTAAACAAATACAACTGTAGTTTATAAGGTTGCATCTTTTGCATTTATTCACATATTTTATGGTCACATTTTATTTTAAAGTCCAATTCTCGCTATTAACGAGGACTTTTGCCTCAATAAAATCCTAATTTGCTGCTTATTAATAGTTAGTAAGGTAGTTGTTAAGTTTAGGAATTGGGTAGGATTAGGGATGTAGAATATAGTCATGCATAATATGTGCTTTATAAGTACTGATAAACAGACAATACAGTATTTTAATAATATGCATGCTAATAAGCAACTAAATAGTGAGAACTGGTCCCTACTAAAGTGTTAACTTTATTATATATTATTACACGGCTCTGTGGAATACTTGATTCTGATTGGTCAATCGCGCCATCCAGTGGTATGTTACTCCCAGATAACAACCGCCAAATGGAATAACACACTGCTCATCCGGGTACTACGAGTTATCTTGACCGGCACTACTTATATGCTTAACGAGTCACTCTGCTACCGTTGACTGTCTGGCGCCATCTTGTGGCTGAAAACACTTAACCACCGCATGTTACAATGGAAGACTTCAGCATTAATTTCAACATATATTGTAAAAACAACTGTTTACTGTAATTAGTGATACGACTGTACATTATGCCTTAAATGTTCGTATTGCTTGACTTCAAAAGGCTCAAAGCAGTTTGTTAGGAACTGTTTTTCTTCGCGGAAGCTTTGCGTAAGAGCTAATAAAATATTTCAACTCAAGTCAATATTTCGTGTCTAATTTACTTGAGACAAGTAGCTGTGTAATAAGCGGGATAACGAGAGCTGTTCGCGCATTAGCTACGCCCACTGCCAAGAAACCGGCATATCTTCTGCTTGTTCTTAAAAGCTGAATAATTCTAAATGAACTCTGTTATTTTGACAGGAAAATACAACAAAGAATATGGTTTACATGTAGTGCGTCGATTCAGCATGGTATGCAAGACTCTCGCTCTCTCTCTTTGCATGTGCGAGAAACACAGCGCTATCAGTAAAGCGACGGCGAGTCGTGCGCCTTCACACAAGTTTACGGTGCGTCAAATACAGGTGCGCTGCGTGCTACATGCTGCGCATCCACTGAGTACATGACATGATCCATTGAGTGCATCCAAATAGTACAGATCGCTTGACGGGGAGCGAAACTCTCAAGCGCTCAGTCAGCGTGTTTATCGAGTAAAATCTGTGTTGAACGCCTCTCACACACATACTGCCGTGTAAAATCTAAGAATTTATTAGCCAATGGCTAATGTTAGACATTATTTAGTCGCCTAGAGTAAGATTTAGTCGCATATGCGAGTGATTTACTCGCAATGTAGAGGGTTGCTAAAATAAGTAAATAAATCAATAAAAGCATCTTAGATTTGAGTTCCAAATGAAAATATATTTAAATGATTAGAAATGATTTAGAGTAAAGTGAACCTGATTTTACCTGGAATATTCTCATGTTCATGTTTCTTTAAGTGGCGGTCCAGATTGGTCTGTTGACCGAAACAGCGATTGCAAAGGTGGCACTTGAACGGCTTTTCCTTGTTGTGAATGTTACGAACATGTCGCTGGAGGTTGGAGGAGATGCTGAATGAACGGTCACAGTATTTACATCTATACGGGAGAAAAGCACAAGTCAAATCAATCTTATATGAGGTTTCTATTGGGCTGAAACAATAATCAAAAGCTGTAGAATACATCAGCGTGCACACATACACCATTTTGGGGCTTGTATGCATGCATTAAACATTCAGAAAAATTGGGCATGATCCACATTTTAGTATAACTCTAATGAATCCTGTATTGTCCCCCCCCCCAAGAGGCTGACAAAGGTAGTGCAAATAGCTTTGAAGGTATGTTGACCAGCGTAAGATATCTAAAGTTAACTATATTCTTTTCACAGAAAGCATGAAAACAAACACCCCCTTGTGTGCTTTTATGGCTCATTGTTTTGCCATCATGATTTTCCTTCATGTAAGCCAAAGAAATGTTCTTTGTGGTCTTGTAAACAAGATAGATGATGAAATAAAGTACATTTTCCCTATTTTGATTTTCGTCATTTTAATATATATTTTTTCAGTATGAGATATGAGATGTCCTCAGTGTGTCTCAACAGTCAGTGTTCGGTTCTCTGTAGCTCACTTGTTCAGATCAGACAGAATAGGCAGGAGAACATCAGTTTAATGTGCTGATAAACAAACATCGCAGCGAGGCAGTGTCAGGAGTTCGCTGGACAGTGCCTCCTTTGTTGGGTGGCCGGCGTAGCTTAGACTCCCTCGGTCGCTGCAAAGTTGACTTTCAGGGCTAATTGCTTTAGGAAAATCGCTCGTCATCAAGTGCTCAGAATCAAGATGCAGGCCCCTTTTTATGTTCCAGTTTATTTTGCGAGCAAATGTGTATGTGTGTGTGCATGGCCCGATTTTCCAGACTTGGCACAACACGGTTCATAGAGAATGGTAAAACGCCAAGACAACGTTTCGTTTTTTTTAATTTTTAAAGTCAGTCTTTTCTACCCCCCAGTTTGTTTATTTTCATTACTTGGTCCAGAGGGACTTTAAATTACTTCATCATCTCTGTTCTTTTTTTCTCTATTACAACGACTGTACATGAAGCGTTACGATCCGAATGGGGTCTTTCAATGGTCAGACCTAGTGGGCCAATTTCGCTGCATAGAGTGGCTGATAGCATCTACAGCAGGCAAATAACCTACTACAATGAAGCCTGAAGCCGGCCCGCTCTGATATTGGCCTGACTCAGCCCTTTTTTGCTGAAAGTAAGATGGGGAGATGCTGATGATGTCTGCTATTTGTTAGGGTAAATTGTTTCTAAATGAGCTAATCAGGGGATTGTTGTGAAGGAGCCAGGCATGTAGCGCTCGTGTCCCACGGGAGGCTCTCTATCTCGTCGAGTGTGTTCACAGGGCTCTATGGTAGATTTGTAGAACTCAAAGAGGGGTTTGATTTCACCTGACCCTTTTTGTACGCTTAGAAAAACTCGTGTGAAACTGATATACATGTTACAGAACTACCAAATGTTTTTTTTTTTCAGTACGATAAAATAAACTACATTTGTACACTTTCTTAAGAAAAAGTGATGCTAGAGTGTTCATATTGCTGTGTTTTTAGGGTGTTTTTATGTGTTTTAAAAACATCGGGTATGGGTAGTTGCTATGTGGTTGCTTGCTTGCTTTCATCTTATCATCTGCTAAGCAAAAATCGTATATGTGTAATAACACACCTTAACAAGCGACAAAATGTGAGGTAAAATTCATGTCTGTTGCATGTCAAATTTTATTGCCTATGGTCAAGGGTTTGCTGAAATCCCTAACTCTGAAGCACCACTATTAAGAGATTTTCCCTCATAAATGACTGTTTTCACTTATATTTGTTCAGAAAGTGGACTGTTAAGAAGTCTTTGGCAGTAAAGGTCTTTCTTGTCTTACATCTTAGTCATGCCTGGGTCAAAATATCGCTTAAAACTTTTAAAGCAACCCATTTCCAAAGTCCCCTCATCACCCTCATATAGAGGACTTTCCACAGCTGGTTAGTAGCCAAATCAATGATAATTAAGCCGTTCTATAAACAGAGCATGAATGTCTCCAGGGTGCTATTACCAGCCAACATTGTCCAGAGCTTGCTCTACCTCCACAACATCTGCGGAGACAGAATCAATCTTCTTTCTTTTTTGATTACGCTGCCTCTAATTTCTCATGTCTTTCATTGTTTCTGTTATATTTCTCAGCTTGTATTGCAAAGCAATGCGCAAGAATACATCTCATGTGCTGATCACATAACTTAAAAACTGTCTGTGTGTGTTTTTGCATCTACTTGTATATCAGTCTGGGAACGTCAACCATGAGTAAAATCTATTTCTCATGTTTTCAAAAAAAGCAGGTAAGACTCAAGTGGGAATAAACCTTTGGATTACAAAGTGATGTGGAATGGTTGGATTTTCGGCTATATTGTTTGTGTTGGATGACTGTGTGGCCCTGCACCAAAAGCCATGTAAAATTACTTGAATGTATGCATATGTGGTAGAAAAAGTAAAAAAAAAAATTAGCTGACTACATTATAGACACATTTCCAATACAAGTGCAATTCTTATTCTAATAATAATTAGCACATTATTTGCTGTCTGCTTTGATGCATAGTTAAGTATCGTGTCATTAGCTTAGCAACATGCTAATGTCAAACCACTGGAATACATTGTGAGGTAAATCTCAAGGTACAAAGCTTGAGAATTTCAGTACTGCATTTGTGTGTGTGTGTGTGTGTAGGTCTAAGAGTGGCTTACCTGTAGGGTTGTTCTCCTGTGTGTGTTCGTAAGTGCCTTGTAAGATTAGCTGACCTGGGAAAGATTTTCCCACAGTACCTGCAAAGGGTGAAAACTAGACTTTGATACAGTCATCCAGCATTGTTACAACTCCCATATTCAGAGGGTTGTAACTCATTGTCTGGGCATATTCAATGTCAAAAGCAATGTATTGGTACATTTATTTCTAAATATTAATATATTAAAGCATACTTCTAAATATGATGATATGTTAGAAATGATTTAAATAAAGCTGCAGAGTTAAAGGAATCATGTAAGGATGTGTTTACTCTAGTTTCATGAGTGGCGCTCACCTGCAGGTGTATCGCTCCTTGCCTTTGCGTAAGATAGCATCGGAGAGAGAAGGAGGCGGGGAGCGGAAGTTAAAAAGGTGGTGTGAGGAGTGCTGGAGGGAATTGGGAGCATCCAGTTTCAGAGCGCTAAAGCTTTCCAATTTCTCAGTCATGTTTTCCATCGCAGACACCTGAGGAGAGAACACGGGGCGAGTTCAGAGAGGAATACTCTGTGTTTGATGCACAGCTCAGGGTCTCATTTAATCAGAAACTTCTCTTGAATTGATTTTGTGTGAGATTAGGACCCATCTGGGAGTAAGAAACTTAATTTTAATTTTTTTTTGTTTAGGGCAGATGCATGAAGAACAAAATAACAGCAGTGGTGAGGAGCTCTGACAGAGAGTTGGAGTTTGCATCATAACCAGACAGGATGGAAAGCTGGAGGAAGTTTTATATCAGAAGGTCGAGTCTTGATTGTACTGTTCAAGAGTGACCTCCCTAACCTATGGCACATTGGCAGCCACTCGAGCAGCCCCTTGGGAGCCCCCGGCTCCTACTTAGTTCCCAACAAATCTCTGAGAGAAGCGTCTGAATGAGCCATTCACCTCCATGAGCGGTAACCATACAATGCAGTTTAAGATACCCCTCGCTGATAGTACTTCCCCTGCTGCAGAACAAAGGGTTTGCTATGCGGCTCTATGGCCAAAAACAGCTTACATCCTTCCTACCTTTGGATATGGATAAACATAGAGACAGACAGTGTGTTTTAATTTATTCACACATGTCTCGATATCACCTTGATTCTCTTAGTGTTTTAGTCTAGAATATTAACAGGCAATGGTGCTATTGGTAATGCGTATACCTTTAAATAACCATGGTCGCATATTTGATTTTCATTTGCTTTAAGACAAATATATAGTCAACATAATATTCATATCTAAAAAAATGACTATGGAATAAAAAGTACTATGCAATAGGATAACATTTAAAATGGATTGATGAATGGATAGATAGATAGATAGATAGATAGATACTCGTAGAAGTCAAAATAGAGACATTTGATTAAATAGGGGGTTGCTTAAAAGAGAAAAGGAAAGAGCGAGATATTTGGGGGGAGGTAGGTCAGCATTGATGGAGGCCAGATTTACAGCTCAGATAAGACAGTTCCCAACAAGAGAGGCCATTCTATTAGACACAAACACAGGAAGTCCCTGATCGACATGCAGACATTATCTAGGCAGCCAGAGCAAGAAAGAAATGCTAGGAAGTTATTAGCGGTTGGACTCAATGGAGAACTTCCCAGAGACAATGGTCTACTCCGAAAGTATGTGGCATAATTTGTTTCAATTCAAAAGGCCATTATTAATAATATTTTCATTATTGTTGTCACCGTTCAAAGGTGAGAAAGGTTTAAAATACTAACGCAAACAATGGGGGTTGTTTTTCTAAGCAAAAGATAAAGAATTTTGAATGCACAGCATGACAGAAAACAGGCCATACCTCTTTCGAGATTATCTTCATGATGAAAATAATCTAATGAAAATAAATACCATCAGAAGTCAACCCTTTTTAAAACATCAAGGCTCCCCTTGAACCAAAACAGACCTGAGGTGGAGGACACTGGGAATGTGCTTTCAGTGTCTTGCCATGCTCTGCTGTGCTTGAATGGAATGACAAGCACAACCTTTACCAATGTAAGTAAAGCAAATGCATGTAAAGAATACCTGTGGATGGAAGAGTAGTGGCGCCGGCCTCAGGTACTTCTCCTTTAGAGCTCCTACTGGGTCTATTAGCTTCCTCTTCTCCACCCTGCTGGACAACAGTACCAAGGGTTACGTACGAACGAAGGTTGATTGTAAACCTACTGAGTACCAATACTTTTCCGATAACTTGTCTAATTTCAACATATCACCAGCTACTGCTTTGAATTGTCCTTGTGTTGGGTTTTACAATAGAACCTACTTATTGAAATACCTGTAGATGGGGTCCATGAAGAATGGCGAGGGCTTGGCGTAGTGGAGCGACGGCTGCTGCTGGGGAAGGGATGCTTGCGGCTGAGGCATCTGGGGCTGGTGCAAGTTCTGGGACTGAGTTAGTGCTGGGTGTTCATCTTTAGCTGCTTTGCAGTTTGCGCCATAGGCGTGATTCCTGCGCTGTTCATGTGCGCCACCGTTCTGGTTAGCTCGGCTTCGACTGCCTATGCTGAGGTCCAGAGGTTGTTCCTCGCCAGGGGCCAAAGGGGGATTGGATGGCAAGGCTGGTTTGCTGGTGGGTGGAGGAAGAGGTTTGACCTCCTTGGGTTTGGTGGTTAGGTCAAAGGGTGAATCCACACCAGTGGCTGTAGGTATTTTCTGTATGTGCTCACGAGGGGATTTAGGCTCAGGTTTGAAGAACATGCCAGGATTGAGTGCTCTGTCTGTGAACGTGTACAAGGAATGTGGGAAGTTGGGCAGAAACTGGAAAGGGAACATGGAATGGTAGTTTAAGGAGCCCATCTTCTTCTCCTGCAAGCCCATTAAGCCTGGGCCAAAATACTTTTCTGCAATGGAGGCAATGGCTTTAATGGAGTCAGTGGTGGCCCCGGAGGGTGGAAGTGCTTGCTCCTCTGGCGGTGGGAAAAATGAATGCTGGGAGGAGAGGAAAGGACGCTCGCAAGGGAGGTTCCCTGTACTGGAGACAGATACCGAACTGCTACTCACTTCGTCCTGCTTGCTCTCCTGCACTGGTTTCCTCCTGCTCTTCTCCCGTTCGCTTTCTGCCTCACTTTCTAGATCTGAGCCAGACACCGTGCCAGTGGTGGTGTCTAGATCTGTGCCGCTAGATGTGTTAACATCTTCCAAGTCACTACCATCAGACATTTCATTCATCTTCACTTTATTCTTGTTGTCGTGGAACGACAAGTCCAGTTTGGACTCTCGATTCTCCTCTGACTGGCTGCTGAGACCACTCCCTACATTGCCATTGCTGTTGTTCATGGACGCAGAAAGAGTAGGAGCATCAAGAGGAGTCAGCTTCCCATCCTGACTGTTACTAATTGGGCTCTTGAGCAGTGAACTAGGAGGTAACAATGGCGGTCTAGGATATAGCGATGGGGGAAAAATTCCTGGGAAGCCATGGGAAAGGGCTGGGAATACAGGGGGTGCTGGGGAAAAGGGCAAACCTGCATGATGCGGCCTGGATGGGAAGTAATCCCCAAAGCCAAGTCCACTATGGTTCAAGCCAAGATGAGACTTGGACTTGCCTAAAATGTGACTGGATGTCATTGGTATGCCCGTTGTGAATATGCCTCCGGGATTATAATGGTTCTTGCCCTCGCAAAAGCGCCGATGCTTGTTGAGGGAGGAGGTAGTGCTGAACATTTGCCCACAGTCTTTACACTTGATCTGGGTGCGGCAGTCTGCATGCATCCGTTTGTGACGGCACAGGTTAGAGAACTGGGTATACGATTTGTGACACACCTCACCTGGGAGAACACACATGACTGGTTAATTCTATTAACATACTGTTTTCATTTGGTGTTTATTCATTCAATAGCAGTGATAATCCGGCAGCCGATTAGATCAACCAATAAACTGTGCATGCTGTTTATTATTTTCGGCAAACATGGCACTGTCTACATCAGGGGTAGCCAACCCTGCTCCAAGAGGGCTACCTTCCTGCAGAGTTGAACTCCAGCCCTAATCAAACACATGTGAAGCAACTAATCAAGGTGTTTGAATTACTCGAAAATTGCAGGCAGGTGTGTTGGAGAAGGGCTGAAACTGAAGTCTGCAGGAAGGTGGACCTCCAGGAGCATGGCTGGACTCTGCTCTGTTTTGAAGGTGAGATAAAAACGCTACACACGGCAATGTTATATGGTAAAATATGATCAATTAGCATATGAATAACTCGTTGATGAGATGCTTCATTAATAGTAGAGCTATTTCAGCTAATTTTGTATACATACAAACACATGTACACTGGTACAGCATACATGTATTTGGACATTGGACGGTAACACACAGAACATTGTGAAGGCAAGCAAAAAGAAGATGGTGTTCTCTCAGTGTTGGTAAAAGGGCAGCTAAAACATTTACCTCTAAACATTAAATCTGCCTTGGCCATATACAAGCCTAATGGGCCCTCAAAAGAAAATGCACAGTTACAAAAAACAGAAGAAGGGTAAAATGGAGTAATTAAGAGAGCGAAAAAGAAAGCACTAAAGAAAAGTGCAACAAATGTAGAACAAATCAAAGAATGGCTCTAGAATTTCATTTAGTTGCTCTGACCTATAAAACAACAGCTGTCACAATCTTGGGGTGGAGCTAGCCGGGAGGTCTTTGGACACTGGTAATTGTATCTGAGGCTTAGACAAGACTGCTCAGACTTACAGATGAAAGGCTTGACACTGCTGTGTATGTGCTTGTGCTGCTTGAGGCCCGAGGAGGTGGCAAAGGTCTTGCCACACTCAGGGCAGGTGTGGGCTCGGGCACCGACGTGCTGAGAGCGGATGTGGCGCTGGAGGTTGCTGGGGTCTGTGAACACCTGAAGAACCCACAGAAATATGCCAACTTAGTGTAAAGTGCTATGTAAACATAGCATGGTGTAAGAGCAATTACTTGGAGATTAAAATTAATTGTAGTGTTATATTTTGAAATTTGCAGTACACGGATAGTTGACATGAAACATTTTTGGAAAGTTGACACGGCCTGTGGAGTGACATCCATCAATCAGTATTTTAAACAAAATGTGGCTAATTCTTCTGATAATTCTTCTGAGCTCAATTTAATCAAGAGACTACATGAATGTTTGTACTTCTTAAAAATGCATTTGTCACACTGCAGGACATTTTAAAACAAACTGTTGAATGTAAAAGGTTTTCATTTCATTTTCATCAACTAAATATTAGTCCAGGGGCACTTTATGTTTCAACTTTCCACATGTAATCTAATTAATGCTTTTAAACATATACGTGGTTGCAGTAAGTCACCATAACCTACCTTATCACAGTTTTCACACTCGAAGCGCTTGCCACTGTCATGTGACATCTGATGGCGAATGAGGTTGAATTTCCAGTTGAAAGCTTTGGGGCACTGTTCACACTTATACTCTCTCTCATCTGTGTGTACGATCATGTGCTGCCCGAGACTAAGAATACATAAGAACACCATAAATATTTTCTGTGTGACCACCATGTAGGCCAGTGTTTCTAAACTGGTTTGTTGTGGCAAGGCTGTATACAGTATCACAGGGGAGGAAAAAAAACAATGCTAAATGCAAATAATATAACGAATCCTACAGCCATATACTGTTAGAATACCAAAATAAAAAGATTTATGTTTTAAACAGGTGGATTATTATTATTATTTTTTAAAGGCTGCACATTCAAACTTGGCCACTTGGTAGCCAAATTAGGCAGATGCCAAATATGGTTTGCGGCAAGCTTTTCCTTTGCATTCTGTGTCATGTTAATCATTTTTCATAATGTTTACCTATGTGGCTCATTGTAATTTCAGCAAATTTCAATGTTTTATTTTAAAGGCATTTTTGTAAGATAAACATATTTATCATGCACATGTTTATTGTACACATACGCATGTGCAATAAACAATTTTGGTTCTGTGTTGGGTCACTGGTACAATGCAAAAGCAAAACCAGATAAGAACCAAGACAAATAAATATGAAAAAGCATAGAACAAACTGATCATTGATTTTTGTTTCTTTTTCATTTACCTTTTTTTTTGACATTTTAACAGCTAGGGGTTCTCTAAAGCTCGGCGGGTAATTAGAAGTTGTGCAGTGTGGTGGAGTGTGCTGACCTGTACTCGCTAGGGAAGATCTTTTCACAGTCTTTGCACTCGTGCACCGGCTCATCGCTGTCTTCGTGCTCCTGTTTGAAGTCTTCGCTTAGTGAGTCAAACATTGAGTTGCTGCAACTGCAGGAGTATTTCTGATGCCGCCGTAACTCCAGCTTTGATGTGAAGAGCTCATCACAGTGTTCACAGCGGTACATCTGCTCATCTGTGGGGATGGAATCACACAGTTGCTCAACGATAATAATTACATGGTCATTTTCAATTATAAAAAAGCTCGGTCTCCAGAATAAGACCTCAAATTGTGTTTGGACACTTATTTAAAAATGTCTGAATGGCATTACATTAGATGACAAGATACCAAGTGGCATTTAGGTTACTTTAAAAAGAAAACACACTTTTCCATCATGACATTTCATAAAAAGAGGTTTTAAATGATAAAACAATAGACACATAGCAAATGTAAAAGCAATACTATTAATTTGTTATTTTTGTTTCAATACGGATAAAAAAAAAAACACACTCAGCAAACAATCACAAAGCAGACGATAAACAGATAATCATTATTAAACACAAAGCACATCTGAAATCCCGCCTGCTTCATTCGATTATTTGCCAACAACAAATACATCAAAACTCACACACACAAACAAAATAAACGAGTGCATCACATGCAATAAAAACACGTGGAATTAAAGACAACAATAATAAAGTAATATAAATAGAATGTGTATTTTTTTAGATGTATTAAAAACAATGCAATCGTAATCCGATGTGTTTGATGTCTTGATGTGTTTTTGCTTTTAAATTGAATAAATCAAATATAACACACGCACGCAAACAAAGTGCTAGTCGTTTTAAAAATACAAAATCATAGCTACTATAGTACTGTGTTGCTGAGACATGCGACAATGCATTTTTTTTCAATCTCGGTGTAGCATAAATTATTTTACCAGTGCAAACGTTTATCATTTTATCCGTTGCACATGCATTCTAAATGCAGTTTGTTTATATTATTCTCGCGGTGTAGCCTATTTATTTCTTAGCCTGATGATTTGCTGCAAAGTGTCCTCAAATAAACACAATCAAAAATCATTCCAGAGCGCATCGTGATGGTAAACCGCATCTGTTGCGTTCTTACATAGCCTAAATACACTCCAAAAAAGCCTGCATTTATTTTGTAAATTAAACTATATATATATAGACTTTAACCTAACCAAACTGACTTATAAATAATAATCCTAATAAAACAAAACGGAACAGTCGGCTTTAAAAGCGCTTCTAAGACGCGCACTGAACGCGCAGTAACGCATGCTCCCTCATGAGGGCGCTCAGGGCTAGGCGACAGCATCTGATCTGGGGCCCCTCTCCGAAATCAAGACATCCAGCTAAAAAGCTGCACAAACTTCCTCTCAGAGCTCTAATTTTGTGACAACTCGAATGTGTGTTACAAAAGTAGGCCAAGGCATCAAGATGGGGGGCGGCCGATGTGTAACACAGCTATCATTATTGTTAACATTAATATTGCATTTGCAGTTAAACGAAGGCAAGAGCGTTTCTGACCTTTTTCTTTCCCGAGAGTTGATAAAGTTGGGCTAGCTGTTGAGCGGTGGATCTCAAAGCCTCCAGTTGTAATAGCAGCTCTGGTCCCGTAGAGTTCAGCACGCAACCCATAGTAGCATGACAGTGCGCCACAGCCGCGCAAGACAGAGTCCGAACACGCGCGTCTTTGATGAGGTGAGTCGCGCTCATTAGTGATTCTCTCTGTCGGCCACTCCTCCTCTCTTATCTCCAACCAAAAGGACTGAACCCCTCCCCATGTCCTCTCCTCCTCTGACCACCGCATGAATCTATTATTGATGGAAAATGTATCTTTGCCAGCTAATGAAAATCTACAAAATACATTTTCCACGGGGCTTTAAATAGGCTAACATACACCTGTTTTTACTCGCTGTCTCTTACATTTAGCAGATGTTTTAAACCAATTGCGTTTGCGCTTTGAGGGACTAAAGTCGATATTTTGCGGAGACAGTCGTTATGCCGCCTGAGACACTTAGTTAGCTGTCATATTCAGCCTATATTTAATTAGCCAAGATGTAACCTTTTCATAAATGAGCGTTTATTAAAAACCTAAATTGTGAGGAATTCATGTTACGTCAATTAAAAATGATATTGCAATTATCCAATTAATAATCCGATTATTCTATTATAGTAATATCGATGTTCTACATATGACAACAGCAAACACTGTATATTATTATATACATATAGGCTATTATACTATTTTGATAGGCCTAATTACAATTAATATAGCTATTATTTATAATCGAATTATTATTTATTTTATTAAGATCTAATTGCTTCCTGTCTTATAAATGTATTGACAAAATAGAATTGTCACAATATCAATTGAGAGTTTGTTGCTTATTGCTAAATATACATTTAGGAAATTAAACGAGTGATTACATTTCATCTGTAAATTATGATTTGTGCAACGGATATGATAATGTTACAACGGTTTGTTATTGTCAGTTGTTTTTAGGTCAACTCAAATATTATATTCTAAAAGAATTAGAATTAGAATAGAATCAACAAATAAGCATATAAGTACAAATTACATATACAACCGTATCTACAGCACACATGACTTTTTAAATAAATTAACACACATGACACTTACAATGCAGGGGCCAAACTCTCGATATTTAATCACTAAGGAATCAATAACTTGCATGATCTATTTCTGAAAGATAGAATTTGGATGTCAAATTGTGCTGTGGTCTTTGGCTAGTTCTCATTCATTTTGTCATTTTGCTCTGGGTGCGTGGAAATGCCTTCCTTTCACCCCTAAAGCAATCTATTATGATGGGGCTAAGCTGTCTCTACAGTAAATCTTTTCAGGATCTGACAGCACTGAGAGAGCCATCTTGACCCCCTCACAATGCTTTCAAGTGCTGGGGGCCGATGCCTCATCCATCACTTAGATGACAATAATCCCCTGTCTGTCACACGCACGGACACACACGCATTCATATACGTGCAAGCAGACACAGACTGATGGGAATATATAAGAAAAACACTTTTATTTGGGTGTGCCTGTTTGTCTGCCATTCAAAATGTACATCTGATTCACTAAGACAAGATCAGAACAAAGTTCATCATAACAACTCTTTGATCAAATGCCAAAACCATATAAAAACTAAACTGCATGAGTAGACGTCAGGGATTTTTACAAGTTCCTCTCTAGCAAACAGGTATGTAACTTATATAGTGTTTTATCAGTCAGTAGCTAATAAGTAATTGAACGCATGAGTTTCAGTGTGTTTGTTATGAAGGTGTAACATACAGTAAGTTTCAGGTATTTCTTTCTAAATACAAAATTATTTACCAGGATAATTATTAATAACAATCTCATAATTGATAACAATTTTAATTCCGACTGAAATAAATTAATTCATAATCATGGGCAAATGGGTTTATATATATATGTGCGAAAGCCAGAATTCATCCACCCGCTCTATGCCTATTGTCTCAGAGTGTATAGGCTGCTCTTAGTTTGGCCCAAAACCCAGATTACACTTTTTCCGCGCAAAGCAGATAACATCAGTTCAGCAAATTACGTGGTCCGCAGCATTTCAAAAATATACTTTTACACAAGAGCACATAAGCTCACACGGTTTATAAGTTAATTTTGCACCCATTGGAATAACACAACAAAAAATAATTTTATTTTATTAGGTATTTTCGCCTAAATTTTTCATACTCAAATTCATATGTTTGCCCTACACTCATACAATGGAGGAAATGAAAAAAAATGGTTTCATTGTAAAGAAAACCCTTTGAACTACAAAATATGAGTGTAATTCTTTATAAATAACATTATATACTTTTCAAATATTACTATAAACACAAAAAAACATAGGCGATTTTTGAGTTTTAAAGCAAAGCGTGGGAACTAACACCCTCGCCCTGCTTTCTTGCTATTTAGAAGCATTCACATCTCGACCGACAGCCATAACATAAAAAACACATTAAAACGTAAGACCTAAAACAGTGAAATGCAGCACTACACAGTTGAGTCGTGTTTTGAGGGGCCCGAACGCCAAAGACAAATACGCAAACAAGTAAATAAATGATCCCGGTTGATTTTAAAAGGTTACAGGCACATCAGAATTTGCTGGGCGTGTGCATATTTCCATACGGCTCATGCATTGTGCATGCGCAAATAGAACAGCAAAGTACAAAGTTCAATGAATTATGCATTTTTGCATTGTGCCGCCGTTCTGAATAAATAATAGGCTGTTGTCCGTAAGACCGGCTAAAACGTGTACAAAAGATAAGAAAGGAATAAAAAGAAAACAACAGAAGAAGGGAGAAAGTAAATAGAAAGCATGTATTTAGTGAGGCGATTTTAGCTGGAGATATTATTCTCCTGTGGGCCCAGCGGTGGCCGCTCATTGAACTGAAACGACTTTAATGATTGGGTTATGTAGTTGAAGTCAATTGGTGGTTGTCAGTCTCAGAGGTTGTCCCTCCTCTCCTCCTGTCGGCTTGCGTTTTATGTGTCAGTCTCTAAAACTGCGGTGGCCACACTAGTTGCCCCCGTTAGCCTCGAGACAAAAGCTAAGACTTTGGCTTGTTCCACGAGTCAATCAGCTTGTTTTAAGTGAGACAAACAGCCTAAAAGTGGCAGAATAATAACAAGGAAAGTGATCCACTTATGCATATAATCTAAAACACAGCCCCCCCAAAATGGCACACTTAAAGGAACAATTCACCCGAAAAAGAAAATTCTGTCATTATTTACTCCGACCCTTATGACTTACTTTCTTCAGTGGAACACAAAAGAATTGAGGCAGAATGTCCTGACTTTGAAATCTCACCCATGTTCTCATTCAAATATAGAGCATCAATATAGAGTTGCGCTAAGACTGGTGTAAACAGCATCATTAGAAAATTGCAAATGTTTCCATTTAAGTTAAGGTTGCACACACACACGCACACACACACACACACACACACACACACACACACACACACACA